ATTTTATATAATATCTCAGACTAAAGTTAGGATAATATAATTTGCATTGCTAAAATTCTTGCAAGACGGAGATTAATTAGAATACAGTAAAACCTCGATTAACTGACCACATATGGGGGGAAGGGGCCGACGGAGAATCCAAAAGGTCGGTTAATAGTACATAAATTCTACGGAAATAAAACATACATTTTCAAAGTACCTTTCCCTAACCTACCTCATTTAATTCCCTCTATTCATTTTTGTTCATTTGCCATTCAGATTTCAATAGAATTTGCTTTAAAACATTAACCACTTTAGTTAACAAATATGAACCAGCACAGAAACCGTGAATAAAAAATGGAAAAGTCAAAGAACATATGTCATCACGAAAATTGTGACCAAGTCCCAGGTTGCTGATCCAACTTTCTGCCTCATTTACACACAATTGCAGGGTCTCAATTGTTTCTCTTACTATTGACAACACAACAAACATATAGGTACATTGTTTCTCACTCTTGATTTTTTTTTTCATTTTTGCATTCATTTATGGTTCTTTATTACTATTATTATTATTAGCATTAATATTATTACATTATCGCCCCCCAGGCACCAATGTGAGTCAGTGACCTGTGCCTGGGTGGGCTAATCCCTGTATATAAAAAAAAAAAAAAAGGGGAATTCGGGACTGACGGCTAATCCGAAAGTCGGTTATCGAGGGTCGGTTAATCAAGGTTTTACTGTATAAGCGTCATATATTTTGCTCAAGATATAAAAAATGTAGTACATTAGTGTAGTACATTTTATAAAAAAAATTTTTTGTGTTTTTTGTATTTTTGGGTAGATTTACATCAATTTCTTCATTTATTTTCATCCATTTACATGCACACACCATACTAAAAGAAACGTAAAAGAAATAAATGACCTTAGTGCAAAGCTGGAGTGCACATGTACTAATTTGATTACGGTACTAATATTGTTTTGTCTAGTGCAAATTATAGCATGTTTATATTCAAATTAATTAGTATGTTACAAGAATCCCAGCAATGTTAATTATATTCACCCAGGTCATGTCACTGGCTTTTTATAAGAGAGAAGCTTAGTCACTTAAGAACTGATAAATATACAGGTACACGCGTTAGACCTTGGGCCTGTGCCAACTGTCAAACGTACTACCTCCCCTCCCCCCAAGCCCCCTCGCTCCCTCCCTCAACTGCCCAGCGTTGCTGGAATCCTTGTAAAACAGTGAATAACTTAAATATAAACGTCACGAATTTTGCACAAGAGATAAAAATTAATCACCTGTATCACATTACAGTAGTGATTTAAGAGTAAAAGTGTATATGTACGTATATAGTATTCCACATACACGTAAGTATAAATACAAAGTTTATGTGATGATCGGACAACGTCCATTTCGGTTAACGTCACGTTTCCAAGAACGTATCTAGGACGTTAACCAGCGCATGACTGTATTTACTTTTTTCAGACTGGGGTCTGCCCCAACTATTCCAATTTATCAAGAACCTACTGTATTTGTACATGTCTAATAATTTGAAATTTTACCCAAAATAGTCACAGGCACTTCCAGCCCCTACCATAGAAGCACCACAACTGATAATATATGCTTCATATGGAGAATTAAAAAAATGCTCGGCATATTTTTTCAGATACAGGCATGGGTTGAGCATGTATCGCACGTGAATTTTCACGTGTATTCTCTGTCCTATTGAATTTCATTCATTTCTAAATCACGTGGGTCTGTACAAGAAGCAACAGGGGGGGGGGATCGTGTAAACCAAGCCTTATGTTGGAATATGAGAGCTACAGCTAGCTTGTCTGGTTTGAAATATTACTGTAGGGCATTGTAATTTTTCATTTGCAAATAAGTGTGGTATGCCTTGCAAATATCAAATAGGGGTGTTAAAGTATTAATTGCAGATAAGTGGGATTGCTTATCCTTTTGTTTTCAAGTCATATTACATATTGTTTATGAACCATAA